TATCTTCGCTTTCTTCGGAGGACGATCATGCCCCTCTGAGCCATTCAGACTACCAGAACTCAAAAGAGTTGCGGTCTTCGGCTCATCCGAGTCTTTGGCTTCGGATCGAACAATAACACTAGGAAGTCGAGGTTCCTCACGGAGAACCTCAGTAAGTGCTTCACTCACATCACCAGAACGAATTCTCCCTGCTCCATTGTTCCAATTACGAACGCTTTCAGATTCACTAGAAGTAGTTTTTCTCGATGTCATGATTTGTGGCTGAAGGAAAAATATTCTCGAGAATACGAAGATAGGGAAGAACGAACTCGATGTTTATAAAGACAGAAATAAATGAATATTACATACTAAAAGGAGATAAAATCCCTAAAGCATAGATATTATAGATCCGTGATTATCGGCAAAATATTTACAAAAAAAAAAGAACACCAGATATCCGATTTAAAACAAAAAAGAGAAGAAGATAAAAACTAAGAATCAGCTCCATCCTCGGACAAAGATTCTGCGGAAACCGAATCACCAAAAACCTCGGGGATATCAAGGTCTGCAACGGACCAATCCGCAAAGGCAGCCAGCTCGAGGAGCCCTTCGCAATCTTTCTCCATCTCTTTGAGACGAGCCAGCTCGTCGTCGACGTCCATCCCACCATCTTTTATCTCATTTAACAAGTCGATGTTTGCAACTACCTCCCTTAGCTGGATCTCTTCGCCGACCTCCTTCCTCTTGTCCAGCCACTTCTTCTCCACGAGAGACAGAGCCTCTCTGCAGCGATCGGCAATCTCACGACGCATCACACGAGATTCGCGACGGATGTCTCGCTCCCTCTCTGCAAGGAACTCCGCAACCAACGTTTTTTGGTTGGCGACCTCGGTCTCCAACACCATCCTTTCCTCGCGAGCCTTCTTCCACTCGCCCCTCAAATAATCAGCCTCTCCGGTCTTCTTCGTGATATCCTCCTTAACTTTGCAAAGAGATTCACTGAGACTCTTCACCTCAGCCCGCGACCTCGCCAGATCCTTGTCCTGCGGCACAAAAACATCGCGACGAGCTCATCGACAGAAAACATAACCTGTAAAGCACCAGAAGCATCAAAACCAGTTCGATCATAAAGAGAATATTACAATACAAAATATAACCCACCTTGGAATTGGCATCTGTGATCTTCGAATACGCCTCCCTTTCCTCAAGGGAAGCCGGAGGTACAACAGAAGGACCCGGAGCTAGGGGTGGGCGTTCGGGTCCCGGTCCGGGTTCAGGTCGGGTATTTTGGGTTTTCAGATATTTCAGTATTAGGGTTTAGGACCCGTTCGGGTATTTTTACATATCGGGTAGGGTTCGGATATTTTTAGTTCGGGTTCGGTTATTTCGGATCGGGTTCGGATAATTATATTTTGAAAGAAACATTCAAATTCTTCATTACTTAAGTTTCATGTATTTAAAATTTAATTATTAACTTAACTGTTTTTTAAATGTTTAATAAGTTAGACGATTAATAAGTTGGAAAATAAATTATTGAAAATAAAAATTATTATATTGGTTGTTATTTTCAAATTTTAAATGAAAATTTTGCTAAAAATATGAAACAAGAAGCTTAATGCATTTTAAATGAGTAACAAATCAATTTTTTTTTCACAATTATATGTATATTATATGATCTTAAACTATATATAACATTAATATAAATATTTTTAATAAAATGAGACAAATAAACTAAGAATAAATAGTTATATATACATATGTTCGGTTATCTTCGGATACCCATTCGGGTTCGGATATTACCCATTCGGGTTCAGATATCCAAACTCTTCTAACTCAATACCGTTGGGGTATTTTGTTACTTCGGTCCGGATTTCGGTTCGGATATTTCGGTACGAGTTCAGGTATCGGGTAAAGTGCCCACCCCTACCCGGAGCCGATCTATTACAGCTTCGAAGCGATGACCGACGACGCTTACGGTCACTAGCATCAAAGTCCTCATTTGAGTCAGCACTCGGAGAGATCGGAGGTCTTCCTGCTCTAGAGCTTCCCTCGACATCAAAACTTGAAGAGGAATCAAGGTCGAATCCTCAGGATCCTTATTTTCAATGACACGACGCCGGATCATGAACGATGACCTCCTAGCCAACAGCCTGTTCGATCTGGCAGAAGAAGGATGATCATTAGAAGGTCATGTAGTACCCTTGAGCCTGACCGAGCGGCTGGCAATCGCCGGAGCTTGATTAGTCCCGTCAGGTAGTAAAAAAACAGTCTGAATTCGCTCGTCGTTGAAAGATTACCAATCCGGGTGATCTCGTTGTAACATCCTCAATTGGCCATGGACCCATCCGACATCGGAGAAGTCCCAGAATGTACTAGAAAGCCATGAAAAGAATCCTGCAATCAGATATCAAAGGATTAAAAAGAAGAATATGTAATAAGAGACCGGGACTAACCTATATCATCGAACCAACGCCAGGGAATCCTCTCAAAGTCGAAATCACCTACCGAAGAGTGATCGACCTTAAAAACAAAGAACCTCTCTCTCCAATTTTCGTCGCGGTACGGAATTCCCTGGATAACATGGCGTCCAACACGAGGCGACATAAGAAAAGTCCCAAGCTTCTGGTTGTTCCTCTTCAACAAGCATAGGTGACGAAGCTCCTCCAGACCAAAGCGCAAGCCATCCTCACGAGCTCTAACCGCGAGCGCCAAAAGATGCCTCAGAAAATTTGGGCACATCTGAGTAAGACATATTATACCCAATCCAGTTTTGATTTCAAGAATCGGGGCAGGAATTGGAAATGAAAGGCCACAAGATTCGAAGAACGTGCAATACGCTCCACAAAACCCCTCACGAACGGTCTCAGAGGTCTCGAGAGTAGTGGCGAACTCGAGCTGAATGCTCCGATCAATGCCATGAACCGAATATAAAGCTTCAAGATCTTCAGTTGTAGTCGTCGGAAGAGGAAAAATGAATGTTACTTCCATCTTTACTTAAGAAAATAAAATCGCACAAACAAGAAACTTCGGAGAGAAAGAAAGAAAATCCCGGAGAAAGAAAATAAGTTAGGAGAAAACAAGAGGAGACTCTTGTATTTATAAGGCAATTCGCCGACACCAAGAAACGGCCCCATCATTAACAAGGAGATAATGATTAAGTTTTGCATTGAAAAGGGCACAAGTAGTCGTTAGGGACACATGCCAACGGTCCATCGACATGGAGCGGACACGTGTCGAGTCTCTGCGCCACGGAAGCTAAACCGCCTTCAACCGATTGAGTCCGAGAAAGCCATCTTAGTCTTTTAAAAAATAAGAATAAGATTGGGGGACAAATGTTGAACCCAATTTCGGCACCTATCTGGACAAGCTCAAGCCCATCTGGAGTAATCACTAACTCAACATTGAGCCGGACTCTACGAAGTCGAATATAAGATTCTGGAGATCGCAGAGACGGTTAGAGGACGAAGGGGACTATAAAAAGAGAGCTAGAATGAGATTCAACCACACGAGAAAAACCCTAGAGCTATTCACCAATCACATCGACCTCATTCTTTAGATTTCTAGTTCACTTTCTTGTACTCTTTGTTGTTATTTTCGATCTTGTTCATCACCTTGTAAACGAATTCCGTATTCAATAAAAGTCTATTTTTTTTCAACCGAAGTCCGATTATATCGTTGTGTTTAAGATCATCGTTGCCCACATCCTTTGGCTTCCCCTGATTGAACTCTCGATACAAAATACTGAGTGTGGATTTTAGGATCTACAATAGTGAAGAAGAGTAGTGGCCATGTAGGTTCAATATAGTTTAAAGTGATAATCAAACACATACCGTCGGAGAACAGTGGCAAGTGAGGGAAAAAAATGACCGGAGATTTTCAGAGAGGAAAAGGAGGTGTTGATTGGGACAAGAAGAAAAAAAACTTATGATAATGACAATGGATGAATACCTCTCGCCTCTCTGGTTGAAATTCTGCGAACTGGTTTGTGGTGGATTCGTCTAATCTCAAAGTAGACTTGGAAGGATGAGTGAGAGCAAATTATTTTGGTTGTTGAAAACATCGTTCCCGTCAACCAAATTTCAGAATTGAGATAAAAAGGTAAAGAGATTACGTAAAAGAAATTGAGATAACGATATCTTTGTGTGGCTGTGATTAAAAGAACTAAAATCATTTTATGTTTTTTGAATTTTCAAAACTATTTTATTCAAACGAGATTAAGAAAAAAATAGAAATAATTAAATATACATAATATGTTTGTCATTTTGTATGTATAAATTATCCCAGAAGCATAAAATGACCTTTAATGTTATAAAAATTTAGAAAGTGACATATATTGTAAAAACACTCTAAAATGAATTCTAATGGATTATAAAAAAATGCCTTTTTAGATCAGAGGCAGAAGTTTTGAGATGGGCTATATCCACTTTAGTTGGCTTTGGATATAAAAATGTGATGTTTGAAACAGATTCTCAAGTGTTGGTTAAGATGCTAAAAGGAGAAGGGGAGATTTAGCCAAGGATGAAGCACATCATTCAAGAGATCAGAACCCTATTATTGGGATCAGTGGAGTTGGAAATGGGATAGTATTTTAAAGCATCTCTAATCCTACTACAAAAGTTACTGCAAAATGGAGTAGAAAATGCAGTCTTGAACAAACAAAAACTTACATCATATATATATGGAGTAATGCAGTTTTTGTTTGTTTAAGACTGCATTTTCTACTCCATTTTGCAGTAACTTTTGCAGTAGGGTTTGAGATGCTCTTAGGAGCGGTAACAAAACTGCAGATAGAATATTAAAAGAGAGGGTTATGTTTACATCTATTGTCGCTAAGATGTATTCTATAGTGTGTGGTTGGTTATTTTCTCGTTTTAGGCTGAAAAGCATTTTTTTAAGACATTAATTTGATTAATGAAAAGTAGTAGTTGCTAAAAAATAAATTGCCTTTTGACCAATAAAAGACTGAATTTTTTGTTCTTCAAGATTATCTAGTTTAATGTAATGACTGCGGGGAGCCGGATTTGGGTTTCCAGGTGTTGCCTGAACAAATGCGTGTTACGTCACACGAGGAATTACAAATTTTTAAAATGGGGGCGGTGTCAGTGCAGTTGATCTCTTAATTAATCTCGCTTGAAGCCTCTCAAACCCTAAATCAGAAGTGGATAACGATGGCGTCGTTCGCTCGCCGAGCCATCAGCCTAGCTCAGATTCCATCTGCGTCACGGTCTCGCCGGCGCCGCTGGTACTTTCTTCTCTCTCGTTATCATCTGATTGATTACTCCCTCAGATCGTCGAGAAATTGAATTGATTGAATCTAAAAAATGGGAATGAAGCAGATCACCATGGATCTACGAAGGTTGACTTCTGGAAACAGCCCACGAACCCTGGAAACTGGAAGGAGGAGTTCATATCTCTTCTTCTATGTGTTGATGATCATTCCTTTCTTCTCTGCAGTTTGTGCTTATTTCACTCTCTGGCTGGGGCATGCTTTTCTACGGTGGTTACAAACTCTTCACCGGCGGCAAAGGAGAGGTAATTGCTTCCTTCTCTTCTTGCTTTTTCAGAAAGCGCCTCTTCTACCCATTACATATGTTTGATGATCTTTTACAGAAACCTGTCGAGGCTACACAATGAGTTTGTGCTGTTATCACTGCGTCTGAGATCTCTGCATTCAGCACAGCACATTTTGATTGGTCTTGTTATCAATGCCAGCAGTTACATCTTTGCGTGTTTTCTTTGAAACTAATATACACTTTTGAAATCCTATCATATCTGCAATGGATGATTCTACCATACAAAGACAACCAATTGAGTGTGTTTGTTTGGCAATGGGAAGTTAGTGTCTATGTTTGATCTTGTGGAGGGAAGGCGTATGTGTGTATATAGTGAATTTTCGAGCTAACTGTGGAAACATTTAATGAAGGTGAGATGAATCGTGTATAACAAATGGGTAGGGAGTGGGATTGTGAGGTAGTTATTAGAGAGCCTCCAAACGTTGGTGGCGACAACATTTAGATGTACTGCATTTCCTTTAATTATTATTCTTCAACCAATTTTTATTGTTGTAGTGTGGAATGCGACATGGCCCATAATACACTGTAAGATCCCAATTAATTGAGTGGCTTTTTCTGTCGATGTAGTCGACCACACTTTTGAGGGGCTTAATTAATCTCGTTTAGTAAAACTGTGTTTAAGATATGGATCCTACCAGAACTAAACTAGAGCAGAAAATGAAAGAAAAGAAGGAAAAGTTGCATTCTATAGGCCCATGTTATTTACCCGGAAAAGCTAAAGGGAAAAACAAAACGTATTGAATGCATATTGGTAAGGCTCATCATGGGAAGGGGTAGGATTTGTTGTTGCACATGCACTTATAAGCCATGGGACAAGTTTCACCTCTGCTAGTGATGCACACACAAAGCTAACCATCATAAGATGACATGGGGAGCATGAACCACACGCATGTGAGCAGTCCGGCAACCTAGACCCAGCCACCTGCACGGTGTCCGGCCTCCTTTGACGCTTCACTTTTCCCGTAGTCCTTCCAACATGAAGATGACCTACGCGCACACATAAACATGAACAAGGAGACCTTGAAGATAGTGAAAGACGTGGCATGGCGACATTAAGAAGAGATATCAAAAATCATACATACTTGGATGGGGGAGCGAGGGGAAATGTCTACTAGCGAAGAGAGAGCCGAAAAAGAAAGAGAGGAAAAGGACCAGGAGAAGAAGAGACTTCATGATATTTTTTTGAGTAGTAAAATTAGAAGTGGGCGAATGGGGATGAAGTAGTGTGTGAATGTGATACGTACGGCGAGAAAGGTCTATATATGATGTGGATAATTAACATAGTGTTTAAGAAATTGAAGAGACTCACGGCAGAGAAGAGGAGAGTCACATGAAAACAAGATCGAACGTATGAAATGATATAAATTTTGAGGAGAGTAGAATCACAAAAGCAAAGCCTAATTAAAAACTTGAACTTCATTTGTGTTACTTTGGTGAATGTCATGAGCTTCTTCTGTGTAAAACGTAAAGAGGTACTTTTGTATGCAGCCACCTTCAATTTCCCTTCTTTTGACTCCTTCTTTCTGTGACCTGCATTAATGCCCCCTCACCCTCCCATTAATGTTTGTATTATCCATTTTATTTTAAAAATATTCTAAAAACTATTGTACAAAATTGTTAGACCAATCTATCTATCTATATATATAAAGTAGGGTTATCCCTCTTTTAAAGGCGCCACGTCATTAAATCATAAAGGGAGGAGATGACACGTGTTCTTTTTTGTTTTCGTTCTAATGAATTTGTACACAAGTGGAGTATTGGGCCGAAAACAAAGACAATCTTGGCCTGTTAGGCGCTTACGTTTAGCCGACATCCATTTTTAGGGTTCTTCGTCTCCACGTTCTGAAATTCTCAGGAGACGAGTCTTCGTCAATGATCGGTGTGTCTATGTTGGTTAGCATCAATCTGTCCGATGCAGGCTCGGTAAGGTCGCTCGCATTTTCCATCGTCAATGAAGATTTGGTCATTTTACTGAATCTTTCTTCTCCAACCAAACCTCTTTTTGGAAGCCGACGGCCCTGCCATGTCTTCACGAGTGATTTTCTCACCGATTCACGAAATCGTTGCCAATCATTGCCGTTACGAAAGAACCTTCCATTCATTAAAACTTTCATTGAAGCCATTTTCCCACTAATGACACGATGTTTCATTCAAGCATCCCTTCTTGCTTCCATGGTATGAATCAACTATAAATATGTGAGATATTTAACTTGAAATTCATCAGTTCTTCCTCTCAGTCATTATAAGTTCTCTCTTTCTCTCTCGATGGTTTAATTTTCCTTCTTTTATCGATGTGCTATATTTCATAGCTAGGTTATGGAGATTCACAGAAACTGTAATTCTCTGTTTTTTTGTTGAGGGAAGAAATAGAAAAATATTTCACAGCCTTCGTTAGGAAAAAGCCTCCTACAAGACTAAAGAAGAGGCAAGAACTGTTCAGAATTCAATGAATGTAAGTTCCCAACTTTTTTTGTTGCTTAACATTTTCATTCTTCGTTGCTGACTCTTTTCACCGGATTGTGGCTAGCATGCTTTTATGATTTGTGACCTCCATGAGGTGTCGGAAACATGATCAAAGGTGTGATTCCTTGGTTTCTTCAGTTTAAAGTCCACAAAATTCATGTTCTCTCAAAAAAATTTCTTCTTTTGAATCTTTTTAGTTGTAAAAAGGAAAAACAAATATAGCAATGTCCCATTTTTAGTGAAAGAAACTGTTTTACTCATGTTTCTTAATATTCTTCTCTTTGTTTTTTTAAGAGATGATTGGAGTTTTTATTACCAGAGCTAATTGTTATCTCCAGTTTATTATCAATAATTCAACTCTCTGTAATTTTCTTACATCTTTGTTCCTTATTTAATTTCTGGCTTGCTACTATATATGTTGCTAACATTATTCACAATTTTATTGTGGTATCGAAGAGATGACGTCTACGACTTTTAACTCTGGTTCATGAATAGATCCTGATGGTGATATTGCTCGAGTTTGGTTCCTGGATTACTCTTACGGTTTTCCAAATGATTTCAGTTTACCTTTTTTTGCTGCAGATGAAACAGGAGGAACACAACTTGGAGATCCTTCTCAATAAATCTCAGCCTTTACTGTTACGACTTTCGGTGTTATTACATCAGTATAATACTTCAAAAACTGAGATATGGGTGGCAATAAGAATGAGACCAATGTAGTGTCGTGGAGCAAGGTCACAATTTTAATTTGAGCTATGGTCTTCAAATTTTGCATCTTTCTGGACTCTGAGAAGGGAGAAAAACATTGTAGTCTGTTATGAGAGATGAATGACTATGTATGTGTCTATGTTCATTTAGGGTCTCTCTCATATGGTTGTTTTTGTCTTTGTTATGAGATCATGTCTTTCATACAGCATGATGTCCAAGTATGACTGGAGCTATGTATCAAATCTAAAGCTTCTCCTTTGTTTATGTTCTCGAGTTTTGTTTTTATCACACAAGTTGCCCAGCTGGGAATACTTAAAAAAGAAGCCTAACACTTTTCATCAGCGAATATATTTCAGAAGTGCCTCAAACTATCTCTCACTTATAGTTCGTCAACCTGAAAATTATAAGGAAGGATCTGAGAAAAGCAACCATGGATAGTTCAAATATGGTATCAAAATTCAACATGATGAGTTTCGCTAATGTTTTGGTTTGGCTATTTTGAGTCTTGGTTTAGTTGGTTTGTTTTTGTGAAACAGTTTTGCCATTTACGGAAAATCTTTACAAAAAACAACTTCATCTTCTTCCTCAACTTCTCTCACTACCAAAAGGATTTTCATTATTAACCAAAAAATCATAAATACTCAGATACTTCAAGGTGTATTGTAATGGTCTCCATTTTCTATTCAGGTATCATGATTAATAAAGCTCACCTAATTCTTCTTCTACGGCAATTACCAAGTTAAGTTTTCAAACTAATTAACAAAACATAAATCATAATCAATTTATGGAAATGAAATTTTTTAAACCAACATAATACATTAAAAATATTCATTTAGTTCCACAAAACCGAAACTCTACATTGTAAATCCGGCAACTGCATCATACAGATACACTGATCATGTCCCAATCAAATATGGGTTAGAACGTCCCAACAACTAAAACACAACCAAACAAAATATCATATCCCAACAACTAAAACACAACCCGCGCGATCATGTCCCAATAAAATATAGGTTAGAACGTCCCAACAACTAAAACACAACCAAACAAAATATCATATCCCGCGCGAAGCGCGGGTTCCCCCTAGTTTATTAATAATTTACATGTCTTCTTTAAAATTTACATAATCAACTAAAATATTTACTCTATTAAAAATATTCTAAGAAAAACTATTGTACAAAATTGTTAGACCAATTTTTTAATTATTTAACATATCTTATTAAATATTTGCATAATCAACTAAAATATAACTAAATAAAATTTCTAATAATATTCGTTTCCTAAATGATAATTTTTCATTTGCTGTTAACGATTAATATACCTTCATCTTCATTTACATAATATAACATACACATATTTATACTATTATTTGAGAAGTAAATTTTCTTCGTTAATCCAAACAACAGTTTATTACAAGTGCATACTTAATAAAATAAAAAAATTGTATATAATATCATTATTAAAATGTATATTTCCTTTTTATGTTTTTCTTTCCTAGCTTTTAGACAGATTTTTAAGTTTAGCCTTTTTTTTCTTGTATTGGTTTCAAAAAATCACATGTATTAACATGAAAATATTTTTAAATTTAAAAAAGTGGATATATTTAATTTACATGTCTTCTTTAAAATTTACATAATCAACTAAAATATTTACTCTATTAAAAATATTCTAAGAAAAACTATTGTACAAAATTGTTGGACCAATTTTTTAATAATTTAACATATCTTATTAAATATTTGCATAATCAACTAAAATATAACTAAATAAAATTTCTAATAATATTCGTTTCCTAAATGATAATTTTTCATTTGCTGTTAACGATTAATATACCTTCATCTTCATTTCCATAATATAACATACACATATTTATACTAGAGATGAGCAGAGTAGACACACTCAAAGAAAAGATAGTTGCGCGTTTCAGGAGCATTGTTACAGAGAACACAGACTGTATCAACACCCTGACTCCAATAAGCAATTCTATCCATAGTTGAAAGCCTCTCTTTCATTGCCAACCAAGCCATAAATGCATATTTTGGAGTACCATGAGCAAACCAAATGGCATTAGCCCAAGGGCAGAGAGCCTTACTTTCACGCAACATAATCCAAGTATCATTAGAAGAGAATTTCTGCTTATAACCCGCCTTACCCTTCCAAAGATTACCATCCTCTCTACCAGGGATAAGCTTACTTGCAAGATTGCTCAACTCCACTTCAATATCATTCAAAACTGCTTGACGATGTCTTCTTCTCCTTACAGCTGAGACAGCCTCTGCTAAAATTGCATCTTTGTTCACTCCCAACTCAATAATACCTCGCGGACCCAATGTATCAAATAATGCACCTCTGTCTGACTAAGTATCAAACCAAAAGGAGATATGCCTTCCATTACCAACCTCCTTTCTATAAAAAAATTTTGCCACATCTCGCAACTTTAATATTTTGCGCCACATCCAAGAACCAGATTGGATTGCAGCACTAATTTCCCAGAAATTCCTCCCCGCAGATTCTCTTTTAACCATTTACCCCATAAAAAGTCTCCACATAAGAATCGCCAGATGAGCTTCAGACCATTAACTTTATTGACATCCTTTAGCCTTCTTACTCGTTGATCTTCTCACCAAGCCTCTTACTGAGTTCCAATTCAGTCATCTATTATCCATGATGCGAATTCATCACCTTTATTCTTCATCTTGATGAGGAATAACAGAATATGTATATATATATTATTTTTTTTTTTCGTTTAATGTTGGTTATAAAACTTGGTCTATATAAGTGTATACGGTTAATGAAGATTTTCTATCTTTGATGTAAACAAATTCTATTAGATCTGAACATACTCACTTATTGGTAATGATCTTCCTCATGTCTCTT